AATTTTCTCTGCAGCCTTAATTCGCCCTAGCCATGTAACATTACATATTCACAGGTTCTGGGAATTAGGACGTGGACATCTTTAGGGATATATTATACTTTAATCTGCTTACCACAGTATCTGACTTAAATTTTAAGATGAGTATACTGGGTGCTATGTTAATAGTGTACTGAAGGGGGACAAGTGCAGAAGCAGGAAGACTATGTAGGAAGCTAATGTAGTAAATCATATGAGATAAAATGGTAGCTTAGACAGTGTGGTACTAGCAATGGAGGTGATGCGAACTGATAGGATCCTAGGTATATTTTCAACATAATTTGCTGACCAATTAGATGTGGGATATAAAAGGAAGAAGAGTTGAGTATATTCCAAAGTTTTGGGTATGAGCAATGGGGAAAATTAAGCTGGCATTAATTAAGATAGAGAAAACTACTCAAAGGGCAGGTTTAGGGTGTCATTGGTGGGGCAGTTTGGGCCAGGGAAGACGAGCCAGGGGAAGATCAAGCACTTAGTTTTTGCATAAATTTGAAATGCCTGGCAGTGATTTTAGTCAAGCAGGTCAGTCCTCCACCAGGGCCAGAGGTTTAAGTCCTATGGGAATTTCTACCAAAGAATTGCAGATTGAATTTATTTGCCACCATCTATTTCCCTTCTCCTGTTTATTAAAAAAAGGAGGAGAGCTATCTGCCTTTTAAATAACTATTTCTCCTCTTTCAGTATATATAAAAAATCCAGGTGGAGGTGTCAGGTAGTTAGATAGATGATTCTGGAATTTAGAAGAGTGGTCTAGCCTAGAAATATAAATTTTTTTATATTTCTTTAGCATGTAAATGGCATTTTAAAGCATGAGACTGAATGTAATCACTTAGGGAGAGAATATAGATAGGAAAGAAGAGACCAAAGTCTGAACTGTGGAACACTGCAGTCTCAAGAGTTTGGAGGAGTTGAAAGGACCAGCTAAGAAGAACTAGAGTATCCAGTGAAGTAGGATGCAATTCAGGTCTGCTAGATCTGATTTCCAAAATGTCTTCAGAATGCCATAGTATTCTTAGATCAGAACATGGTAACTGGTATATTACAGACAGTTGCTTTTGAAAAATTATACTGGATGGTTGGACTATTTCCATACACATATCCTGCTATCAGAGTTGCCTTCGTATCCACTTGTAATTCTAAATTTACTGTCTATCCATGTAATATGAGGTTTATGAAGTTTAATGAGATACTCTTGAGAATACATGTTAGGGCCATCTTTAGAGGGTGATATATCTGTGTAGGCTCTGTATTAAATATGAGAGTTCAGAATGGAGTAAGAAATTCAGTTGCTTCATTAAGCTACAGAAATGATAATTTTGGGAGATTTGACAATTTTATATTCTTTTGAATATCCTCAGCGGTGACAAATTTCTTTTGCTTTGTACGGATTTAACTTTACAGAGTATCTGCAGTAATTTGTGTATTGTTGAGTACAGCGAAAATTGGAAACTCAATATAACATTCTAGAAGGTAATTTGGCATTATATAGCAAAAGATTTAAATTTTTATATAGACATTGATATAGTAACTCTTCTGACAGGAATTTATTCTAAGGAAACAGTCTTATATATGTGCAAAGATTTCTTTATGATATGGTTCTTTATAGTGAAAAGTTAAAAACAATCTAAACAGTAGGGTAATAGAAAAGTAGATTTTAGGATAACCATTCAGCATAATACTATGGAGTCAATAATGTGTACTATTATGGAAAATATCAAATGAAATGGAATAAAAGTGGAAAAATCAAAATGTCAAACAGTATGGGAAAAATTCTATTATGTACACATATATATGCACATAAATATGTATAAAAGGATATATTTGCAAGTGTTAAAATTTATTTCTACATAGTAGAATTGGAAAACATTTTCTTTTTTCATTATTTTTTCTAAACATTCTATAATGAACATATATTAATATTGAAACAAAAAATATATTTCAAAGAAGATAGAATTATGGATCTTTCAGACATCTGTGATAGTTAATGTGGGTAATCAAACAATCTTTGCTCAGTACTAAAACTATAAAAGGAATTTACAATTTTTGGAACAATAACAACACCATTAAAATAAATGAATAGCTTCCCGAAGAGAAAAATTTGAAAGACAACCCTGATTTGGATTTGGAAGTTACGGGATTTTGAGGGGGTGTTGGGGTACATTTTAAATTCAGCTTTAATTTTCATAGTAGAATTCACAGATTATACATTTGTGTAACCAACACCCAAATTAAAATACAGCTGGTATATTTGTCTGAAAAAAACTGTTTTTCTTTCAACATTATTATACCTTGAATAATTTCTTAAAGCAATATAGATCTTTCAGGGCATTTTCTCTTTGTTGGTACTTGGAATCATGTGGCTTGATCTCACCATCTCTTGGAGTAGTGTGGCCAAATTAGCAGCCCCATATGTGGGCCCTCAGTGATGAGGTTCAGTTTGCCATGTAGGTTTTGCAGGGCATCCAGTTTATGGAAAGCTAGAATGCCTCTTCTACCAACTAAAGAAGCAGAATTGCCCAGGTGCCTGATAGTGATTTTGGTCAAGCAGATCTGTCCTCCACCAGGGCCAGAGGTATAGGTCCTATGGGAATTTCTAGCAAAGAATTGCAGATTGAATTTATTTGCTCCCATCTATTTCCCTTCTCCTGTTTATTAAAAAGAGGAGGAAAGCTATCTGCCTTTTAAATAACTATTTCTCTTCTTTCGAACAACTTATAGGATATTTGTGTTGCCTACTGGTTGCATTTTCTAGGTGAGGATTGTAAGAGTGATAAGTGAGAACTAACTTCCATTTTACCTTTGCAATGACCTCTGGTCCTCCAGTGATTTATGACCCACTAGTCTAGAGGGGTGTTTGTAACTTCCTAACGTACTCCTGAACTGCTTCATAGGACCATCTTTTGCCAGACCACACTGAACTGCCAGTGTCAACACTACTTGCACAAAACTTAATAAATGAGTTTCCTCCAATATTGAGTCCCTGAGAAACATCCTTTTTTTGCTGTGATTCCAGATACTTCTAACCAAAATTAGCTCTCAGTGGCAGTTCTATGTTACTAATGGGCTTTTTATTTTTTATTTCTTGGATTTGAAGTTTCATTTCAAAGACCTCCTGACGGTAGATCATTTAGGTATTCCAGTGGTCTCTGCAGTCATGAGAGCTTCTAGAACTTGAAATAACAATAATTAACTTATATTAGGAGAGTTTATTATGTTCCAGGCAATACTGTTAAGCACTTTCATGGCTTTTCTTATTTAATTCTGATAACAAACCAATGAAGTTGTAGGGATTATTTTGGCTATGTTTTGCAGGTAAAGTAATTGAAGCTAAGAAAGGATAAGTATTTACAAATAGGAAATAAGGGTGCAGGAGTTCCAATAGTAGTTGTGCTCCTAACTGCTGTACTATATTGTCTACCGAAATTGATCCCTGCCATCTATTGGTTCTTAACATTATTGTGTATAATTGATGTTAAGTGGCCCCCAAAAGGCTGGCCTTCTCTTCCTCAGTATATACTTTTCAAGAAAGCTAACCCTAGCAAATCTAGCCCTCTGAGAAAGAAAGGAACTCCAGGCCAAAAGGAACAACTCTGATCCTTCCACTAGTATCAGGCTCCTGACACCTGATACAGGTCAAGCATTGAACACTAGGGCCTTTACCTTACCCACCCTGCCACGTAATTTTCATTTCTCATTTTAGTTTCTGTTGACTACCTGGCTGCAGTAATACTATTCCCTTTCAAGAAATCCTTTGTCTTCAGAACAGTGCATCCACTCACCCCATCACTGATCTCCCTTCCTTCATCCAGCAGCATCAGAAACTGACTGCTCACCCTGAGATAACTTCATAACCTCTGAATCAACCTTGGTTTTATTTAGGAGCAGGCTACCTTGTATATAACTTGGCTATGAGCTTCACGGGGACGTGAATTGTATCGGTTTTGTTTACTGTGGTATCCTTAGAACCAAGAAAATTATTAGGAACTAAGTAGATTCTTGTTGAATGATTAAATTATGTGCTAACATGTGTATCCACCATATGGGAAACTCAGATATCTGTGCTCTGGTAATGCCCTTAATCCTCATTAGTGCCACTAGAGACTACAGAACAATCTCAAGAAACCAAATGGTACTATGCTCCCCTTACCAACTTGCAAATGGCCATTATTCACCCACTTCATGGGAACGGTCTTAGTTTAATGCTGTATTCCTTAAAGCCCAGACCTTGTCCTGACCAGAGGGAGGTACTTAGGAATTTGGAGGGTTAGCAGATAATGGCAGTCACACGCAAGAAGTGGTAGAGGAGAGATGTTCCACATATGTGAGACTTTAAGTGCTAACCTGGATTGAGAAATATTTTATTTGACAAAACTAGTGCAGCTGTGACATTTCCATCTTTCCTCACTTGACGTTACTTTGAGATCTTGATATTTACTTCACCCAAGGGACAGGAACTTCTAAGCCCTTCCATGCTAGATTCTTGGTGTTTTCAGGCTGTCTTATGAGATTTATCTTACTCTGTACTCACAGTGCTGCCTCCCAAATAACACAGAATTTCTATGTTGTTGGGCAGATTTTTATAATATGTACTTAGTTTTCATTCTTATGCAGGTGACCATGTTGCAAGCAGGATGAGTTTATACAGTATTTCAGGGATATGTTCTATTTGATTGCTCTCCCTGTCTACATACACACACACACACACACACCCCCACAGAGAGAGAGAGAGAGAGAGAGAGCGAGCAATCTGTTCTTTGGGATTACATTATGTCTAGCCAGGTGATATACTAATACAAAAACAATTTAAAAAATAATCTTTCTGCACTCTGATACCTCCTTCAATTGGTTAATGAAGCTGTTACTATAAACTATTAGCAAATACAAAATTCTTCATTCAGTTCAAACACAAACAAACGTATCTATCTGGTGCTAAATGGTTCCTGGTTTCTTTTTTATTTTTCCAGGCAAGAAAACTGATCAGTGATTTTGCCATTATCTTGTCCATTCTCATCTTTTGTGTAATAGATGCCCTGGTAGGCGTGGACACTCCAAAACTAATTGTGCCAAGTGAGTTCAAGGTAGGTGAATGTCTGTTTTTTGGTCATTCCTGGAACTCTTTTTCTTTCTTTCCCCCATTCTAGTTTATTGTGTGTCCCTTTGAGTTAGTTTTGTACAATTATCCTTTTTTTTTTTTTTCAAATCAGTCCCTTTTAGGCTCATATAGACATGTAGTTTAATTTCTTCACTACAATTAAATGTCAAGACTAGGGTTTTTATTTAAAACAACTGATAATACTATTATAAACTCTGCCTTATAGTTTTAGAAATTTTTAAATATCCAAAATATTTTATATGCCTTATTACATTGATCTATATAATGACTCTGGGAAGTACATAATGTAGCTATCATCCTCCTGATTTTTTCTTTTTTGAGACAGGGCCTTGCTGTGTTGCCTAGGCTGGAGTGTGGTGGTGCAATCTCAGCTCACTGCAACCTCTGCCTCCCAGGCTCAAAGAATCCCCCCACATTATCTTCCCAAGTAGCAGGGATTATAGGCACATGCACCACCCCCAGCTAATTTTGTAATGTTTTATAGAGACAAGGTCTCACTGTATTGCCCAGGCTGGTCATCATCCTGATTTTATAACGTTAAGATTGAAGCTCAAAGAATTAAGTAAAATGCCTAAGATTATGGAACTAGTAATGTCAAGGTGTGAAGTTAGAACCCAAGCCTCTAGACGCCTAGTCTAATACTCTTTTCATACTATGAAAGTACCTACCACAGGCATATATATATGAGACATATATATATGGCAAATTGTAATTATTACAAGGTAGATATAACAATTACTTAACTTACGAACCTATTGATATGTGCAGGTAATGGATAAAATTTACATTCCAGTCATTCCTAAATATATTCCTAGCTAATATTTTCATTACATTTTTCATTACAAGCCTTTTATCTGTTTTCTAAAATAATCCTCATTCCCTCCACTACTGAGATCATATATTTGCTAAGAATTATTAAGCCAGTTGCAGTTTTAGATTAATAACTACTTAATGAGGAAGGATATATATGTTATAACACACATTATTTTTTGAATTATCTCTGCTATCACATATTCATTAGTAAAGATAAGTTCTCATCCATTCAATCATTAATTCATTTGAGTTAATATTTATTGAATATTGAGTCAGGCTCTAAACTGGAAATTTGAAATGCATTGATGAGTAAGACAAATTTTTTTCCCTAACAAGCTCACATCTGCTAATTGTAGTAAAATGAGGTTAGATTCAGTGACAGAATTATGAGACAGATGATGGGAATATCCTCAGAAGAGAAATGAGACTTTCTTGACAGCAAATATGGAGAAAATAATTCACAGCGTTCTATTTTAGCTTTTTTATTTGCATTGTTGAAAGTAAGGAAAAGCATACGAAACACTTTTTTTCTGTAGTTCTGGAGTAGACATACATGATCTATTGATGGAAAACAGTCTAAGAACTGCAAAAATGACAATCTTTTCCAGTTTTTTGGTGACATTTCCTAAAATTTACCCAGTTATTATAGATCATTATTTCATATGTAAAATAAGAGACCAGAATTTTTACATTAGTTCACTTATATAAAAACAGTTATGACTTTTTATATATATTATGAAGCTGTTAAAATTTGGCAATAGTATAAACAACTTCATTATAATTGCTAAAACCCATGAACAAAATTCATGGTGGTTTGGTAATTTCTTGCTACCTTTTTACTGAATGTTACATTTGGAGTTTTCTTCTGGCTACTCTTTAAACTTAAATCAGTTTCTTCCATTTTGAGTCCTTATCTTAAATCATCCCAAATGCACAAAATGCCATTCACTTCTTTTCCAATGGCTCATATTCTTTCTCTCCTTTCTTTAAAGAATTTCTCAAAAATAACATCCTTTGGGAGGGTTTTGGTGAATAATCTTCATTCTCCAGCTCAAAACTGTTTATATTTCTCAATATGTTGGTTATCCAAATATAATAGCATGTCTTCCCATTGATTTTTCACCAAATAGTATATATTAACTTGATAATTTTCTGAAAAATGTCCTCTGTCTTTTTCAAGCCAACAAGTCCAAACCGAGGTTGGTTTGTTCCACCGTTTGGAGAAAACCCCTGGTGGGTGTGCCTTGCCGCTGCTATCCCAGCTTTGTTGGTCACTATACTGATTTTCATGGACCAACAAATTACAGCTGTGATTGTAAACAGAAAAGAACATAAACTCAAGGTAAGTGTCTGTTATATGTCTATCATTGCCTTCTACTTTTTTTTTTTTTTTTTTTTTTAGTACTTGAAAACACTAATTGATTAAAAACCAAGGAAGCTTTGTTGGGAGTTACTATAGCTAATGTTCCTTACAAGTCCGCAGAACCAGAGATCACTTTGTATTGGCACATGTCTTCAATGTAGCACTTTAGGGAGAGCTCATTTAAATCTGAAAAAAAAGGTTTCAAATCATATTTCTTTCACCAGCACAGAAAGAATATAAACATAATTTACTACTTAGCCACAGTCATCCTATATCTGATTTTAGTGGAGTAAATATCCTCAATAAAGAGAATGACAATCAAAGATTTAATTAATTTATACTGAGCATCTGCCTTCTCTTAAATCAACTCAGGTTTATTCTTAAAGATTATTCAGATAGTTCGTGGTTGTAAGCTGCTGGTATGCATTCTTGCTTTTTGTCTTCACTTACTTGTGTCAGTATGTTATTAACCATAAAGTATGGAGAAAAATACTTTATTTTGTACATTTAAAAAATCAGTTATTAACTTTGTTATGACTCTAAAGAAAATGCCTCAGTGGTCTGGGATATCTTTCAAGAGAGCTGCCTAAAATGCTCTTACTTTATATAATGTTTTTCCAGCTCTAGTGACTTTTTTAGTTGCAATGAATTTTCACAATACCATTTGAAGAAGTGAGATATGAATGGTAACAATGATAAGGGCTGTTATTTAGTGGATGGCTACTATAAGCCAGGCCATCTTCTAAGCACTTTGTATTATATGTTAACTCATTAACTTTTCATAACCACCATATGAGGGAAGCATGTTAATGCATTAGAGTCTGTTACCCAGAAGGAGAGGATATTACTAAGAATAGAGTCCAGCACAGTAGGTATAGCAGGAAAAATATTCAGGAAATATAAAGAATTGGCTGACTATAGAAACCCATTGAGTAGAGGAATGAGAGAGATGAGGAGGATTCTGATAAACTATCCAAGTAGGGAGAACTTAAAAAGCTGTGGATCATGGTAAGAAAGGAGTAAATCCCAAAATAATAAGACCAGGAGAAGAAAATTAAAAGCTTTGGTCAAAGAAGAGATGTTTAGATTTTGAGAGTTTGGAAGGAGAGAAAGCTGAGATTGATGAACTGGTCCAAAGCATGTGGCTAGCTCCTGAAGCAAGTTGACGATGACGTCCGTCAACACTTGTAAGTTAGAGTAACGTGAGTCTGGTGTACTGAAAGTATCACCTGCCTCAATATTGACATGATTGGAAAGTAGCAGAGTATGGTAGAGAAGAACATCATGGGAAAGTTACTAAAACCATAAGTGAAAGTATGTAACTGTCCTGGAGGTCAGCATATTTAGTGATGTGGAAGGGCAGAATGAAGAGTAACTGGGCTTCAGTACAAGGCAGTTCACAGAAGCATGAAAACAAGTGAGGTATGCTCCCCTCTAATATGGGGAGTAAAAAAAAAAAAAGAGCAAAAACAAAAACATAAAACCAAAAAAACAAACAAAAAACTCGACTGTCACTAAAGAACAGATCTCTCCAGGAAATCAGTGCTCCCAAAGGAAACCAAGTGGTTTTCACTTATGATGAAAGAAAAAGTTGTGAATTCAATTGCAAAATTACATTAAAGTGACTTTCCCCCATGCCCACTCCTGCCATGAGTAGATATTGTACTGCTCTGAGATACTTTTCTTAATTCTAAGATCATTGAGCTTCTCACATTCTGGTGATGTTGGGTTATTTGCACTTGTTACATGGCAGCTGACTTAATTAAGAAGTGAAAGATGCTAGGCCATTAAATGGTTATATCTGCAACTGGCACAGCTTTACTTCTTTACTTTGCCATAGTCAATGGGTCAAAATAGTCACAGGGGCAGCCTCCATTCAAGGAGATGAGGGGGGAATCTTCTTTTTAATGGGGGAATGGCAAGGTCGTATTGTAGAAAATCATATAAGATAGGAGATATTTTCCAGCCATTTTTGGAAAGTAAAATCTGCTACATTTGTACTAAAAAATTTGCCATAGTCTAGATCTTCGTGATTGCTTCCCCGTGGTATCATTTAAGCATATTCTTTTTTTTTTTTAATTTATTTATTATTATTATACTTTAAGTTGTAGGGTACATGTGCATAACGTGCAGGTTTGTTACATATGTATACTTGTGCCATGTTGCTGTGCTGCACCCATCAACTCGTCATTTACATCAGGTATAACTCCCAATGCAATCCCTCCCCCCTCCCCCCTCCCCATGATAGGCCCCGGTGTGTGATGTTCCCCTTCCTGAGTCCGAGTGATCTCATTGTTCAGTTCCCACCTATGAGTGAGAACATGCGGTGTTTGGTTTTCTGTTCTTGTGATAGTTTGCTAAGAATGATGGATTCCAGCTGCATCCAAGTCCCTACAAAGGACTCAAACTCATCCTTTTTTATGGCTGCATAGTATTCCATGGTGTATATGTGCCACATTTTCTTAATCCAATCTGTCACTGATGGACATTTGGGTTGATTCCAAGTCTTTGCTATTGTGAATAGTGCTGCAATAAACATACGTGTGCATGTGTCTTTATAGCAGCATAATTTATAATCCTTTGGGTATTTTTTTTTTTTAGATGGAGTCTTGCTCTGTCGCCCAGGCTAGAGTGCAGTGGTGTGATCTCGGCTTACTCCAACTCTGCCTCCCGGGTTCAAGTGATTCTCCTGCCTCAGCCTCCCGAGTAGCTGGGATTACAGGGGCATGCTACCATGCTAGCTAATTTTTGTATTTTTGGTAGAGACAGGGTTTCACCATGTTGGTCAGGCTGGTCTTGTACTCCCAACCTCATGATCTGCCCTCCTTGACCTTCCAAAGTGCTGGAATTACAGGCATGAGCCACCACGCCTGGCCCATTTAAACATATTCTTTTGTCCTCTGTGCTTCCTTTAAATTGGCCATTGGATCTAGAAGCTTGAGGAGATATAATTTTGATATTGTATATATATATAGAGAGAGAGAGAGGGAGAGGAGAGAGAGAGACAGAGAGACAGAGAGAGAGAGAGAAGCCCAAGACTAATTTATAAAAGGCCAGATAACTTTAAGCTACAAGAAGTTTGGCTTCGGAATTTCGAGGTCACGGAGATAATGTGAATTCCAGCTCTAAACCCAATTGTAGATTTGTGGTTAGGAATATCCCTCTCCTGGGAGATTCTTTCTTTCTTTTCCCTTCTTTTGGCATTATACCCAATGGCAAGGCTGAGAGAGGCATGTGTTCTCACTATCTTTCTCTGTGGGGTATTTTTTTTTTTGATTGGCCAACTGAGTATGCCATGTTTAGAGTGTACTAGTTTTATTTTGGGTGGTATCTCCCATCTTTGCCCTCTCCCACAGAGCCCGAGAATTGGTCTCTGTCCCAAGAGTTCAGATGGTCATTCTAATTCAGGCCCTAAGCCTCCAAGGATTGGCACGGTGTCTCTCAGGGCAGTTCCAGGCTCCAGGGCTTGCTGACTCCAAGGATTTGCTTCTTCACGTGGCTATTGTTTTTTGTATCCAATTGTTCCTCTTTCTAGTGGATAAGCCATAGTTTCTAAAATATATTTTCTGTGTCTTTTTGAGCATTTTCAGATGTTCTGTATTGAGAGGGTTTTTGATGTTGGTTTAGTTTACCAAAGCCTTGAAATGGATGTTGACTAATACATTTTTATTCTGAAAAAATTTGCAAACAAATTCTTAATTACGATCTACAGTTGGCTAGATTTACTCTGTGTCTTTGGAGGTAAATAAATGCCTACAAATTTTTATTCACTGAATTTTCTTATTGATAAAATTCACAATTTAGAATTTCAGAAGTTTAGGAATGATAAAATACAGAACTTTTTTCCCTTATTCTCAGTAGAAAACATTAGAAAATCAAGCTTTATTAGGGTTTGCCTCTTAAAATAAGAGTTGAATATATAAAAAATAAGTTTTCATCACCTTCGGAATTGCCACTTGAAATCATTCTTTTGAATAATGAGAGTTATGGAATAGGTGTGTCAGTCTTTTGTCACAAATCTAATGATACCAGTGACCATTTCATCATGAATCAAAGGCTTCTCACTCTGAAAACTGTTTTGCTCATATTTTGTTAGGAAAGGAGAGCTGTGGAATGTGAACACTGGAGATTCTGTCTAAAATTGTAAAGGGCCTTAACTGCTATGAAATTGATTCAAAAGAGAAAGCTGAAACTGAGAGAGATGGAAGCATTGTGATATTAAAAACAGCATGTTTTTGGGTGGCATTTGCTTTGGCTTCCGGTCAAGTAGCTCTGGCTGTCTGTTCTGCTTGGGATGGGATCCACCTTTCCACTCTGCTGAACAGCTCAGTATTGATGTAGGAACGCCAAGGCACTTGGCTTTCTTTGGCCATTATTTTGGTTGGTTATGCTCTGCAGAGTGCTGAAAAGCAAGCCAGGGTCAGCAAGGTCACGACTTCTTTAAGGTCATTCCCTGAGTCATTGGCAGAAGCAGGAATAGATTCTGAGCTTCATACTGCAAAGCCAGGGATACTTCTCACAAGGAAAGTGATTTCAAGAGTGTTATAGATTGGGTGTAGGAGGGAGAAATAATTTAGGATAGCTATCTAGAAATAGATATGAGGTGGTTGTGACAACAAATTTGCTCTGATATCTTTTATGGTAAAACCCTTAATTTGAGGGTGTTCTTTTTTGATAACTCCCAAATTCCTATTTTTGCCCCTATTTTCATTTTTCCTTTCTGTTTCTACTCTTATAACCCTATAGACTTAGTCCATTTGTTTTGTACCTACACTCTTCTAAAGGGTTAGCCATGGGTTAATAACCAATCTTCCTTGCTTCATTCCAAAAGCATTCATTTTTTAAAAAGTGCTGTTCTTGTATGTCAGTCCTGTGTTTTTAAACTTTCCCACTTTGGCCCCTTTAAATCTTTACCTCTCAAAGAACTTCCATTTGCCCTAGCCTGGGTTTTAAGACTCTTTGCCAGAGGACCACAAGCT